TGGAAATGTGTCATCAGCTAGGTGAGCAAGTAGTATTCAAGCCCTTAAGTAAAGATAGCAGCACAATGTGAAACAACTCCATTATAAGTAAATAAGTAAAAGTAGGGTTTCAAATATTTTGTCTACCACATTTGTATCAATGACTAAATTACACAAACACCTCTAAGTATAATCCAATACAATCAACAGCACCCCAACATCTTAATGTTATAGCTAGTCAAGGTGGAACTATTTCTAACTACTTTATATAAATGTATCACATTTTAAAAGATGAGTATATGGTCTGATTGAAATTTTTATTTTGAATTGTAACAAGTAAATATTGTTATCAAATACAGGTAGTGAAGTAAGATGTACTTTAGCCTAAAATGTAGTAGAGAGTAAAGTGACATTTAAAAACTTAAAGGTGTTCACTACAAGTCGCACAGTTCATTACAAGTCGCACAATGTGCTTTACATCAAAGTGTGTGCAGCAACCAGTAACATTTAATTTGATTTAATAAAGACAAAAAGCCACCCACCCACCTGAAGACAGTACAGAACCCACATGCAACCCACGGACACAAACATACACGGACACACGTGTATAGCAACAGGTAAAATATAACAAAGACAAGCTCAAATAATCTAAATTGATTGACTGATGCATTGATGTACCCTCCATAAACACCTGATCCCACGCAACCCATAATGCAACTTGATATTGCTTTTCATCAGACCCTTCCTGACTGGGTAACACCCACGTCTCTCAGACTCCACACCTCCAGTTTGTAAAGCAGCCATCATCAGGGTTCTATTCTCAGATTTCAGACACTAAGGTCCCTCCGGAGCCACAGATGACATTATCAGCTTCAACGTTTTTCACAGGCTTAGAAGTGACTTTTTTTTTTCTTTTTTTTTTTCTTTTTTTACATTTAATGCCAAATTCATGCTTTATACAATATCTGCACATAGCAACTACAGTATAGTTAAGGTTAGGGAAAGACTAATTAAAAGATGAACTGCACTTGTGTGACAAGACGCAAACCTCAGTCTCCTCTACAAAAGTCAGGCGTGCTACATACGAATACGATTCTACCACCCCAACCTTCACACCTTCCTTTGTGCCTCACTACATAGCACGCTACTTCCTGGTTTGGCACTGGACTTAAATACTGAAATGCGTAAAAGTTCAATATGAACTAGGACCATGGGCTGGTAAATTTGGTGCACTGCCCCTTTAAGTGAAGTAAAAGTACCTTAAAATTGTATTGAAGCACACTACAAATGTATGTTCCATCACTGGTGTGTCACCTATCCTTTCTTTCAGTGACACATTGATCATTTCATTGTTTTTGCAGTACCCCCTTCTTGTAACTTACTTTCAGTGGAAGCACAGTGGAAGCACATATCATCCTCAGCTCCATCAGTGGGCACAATTACAGAACTTTTTGTGCAGTATCATGACCTAAGTGTAAGTACAGACTCAGTGTGGGGGTTGTAGACAGGATTAGGACGACACACATACAGACTCACACACCCACCACCCCAGTGTGCTGCTATATCAGGCAGCCAGGCAGGGAGTCAGGGAGCAGTACCAGGGCTATTAGGACTCCCAGGGACCCTATCAATCTCCTCATTGATCCCCTCCTGCCTCGGCTCGTCCAGACAACTGAGAGGGTTTATACAGCTACTACGGGGAAGATCACGGAAATACTACAACAGGCAAGAGCACATGTAACACCAGAGGATGGACATGGAAAGAGTGGTACAAGAGCCATTTAGAAGAAGAGACAAAAAATGGTTGTGTTGGAATGGGGACGGTGGGTAAAGAGGACTGAGTATTCAGGCCCTGCCCATAAAAATACTTTTTATGGGCAGGCCCCTGCAGAGAGACACAGAGATTCAGAGAGGGAGTGAAAGTTTTTAAAGTTTACAGCCTTTCCCCCTTCCTTCCTCCTTCTTTCCAAGGCCTACTTACCTTTTCACTCAATTTCTCTCCTTCCTTTCTTTTCTTTATGACTGCAATTTAAGATCTCTTTTTCTTTCAACATACATGGCTCCAATTTGATATTTCTCTTTTATCTCCAACATGATTTTTTGAAAAGACACCATGAGTAAATGAGTGATACCCGAAACTTGAGGCTGAAGTGGAAAATCTCAACCACAATCCCCAGTGAAACCAGGCAGCCTGGAACTTTCAGTTACTTTTTTACTCCACATGATGCACCCACGGGGGCTGCTGTGGTTGAAGAAATTGATTGTTTTGGTTTTATATCTTAAATATTCCCTTATTAAATACTTTTTACCAAGCAGTGCTGCGGGTCTCTTGCTCACCAGCTACTGGCATTGGTGAAAGAAAATAATGCAACATTGCCCCCACTGGACTTCTCGTGGTACTACTACTACAAATGACCACTGTGTTAACTGACTATGCGCTGTATATATTACACGATCATCTAAACAATCAAATAATTGATATCCACCTACCCTGTGTGTGTCAGCTGTCCAGATTGGGTGACCTTATAGGTCTTAATGAGTGAACTTGTGTACTGCTGAGTGTGCAGTCTGACCCTGGTGTGTATTAATGACAGAGGGGATGGGAGGTCTTCATCAGAGTCCAGCTGATTAATAACCAGCCCTTCACTCCTTCCCTCAACTAATGGTTCGCTGTCTCACTCTGTCTATAATTATCACTCAATAATGAGGTCTAAAAGAAGGTGTGTGTGTGTGTGTGTGTGTGTGTGTGTGTGTGTGTGTGTGTGTGTGTGTGTGTGTGTGTGTGTGTGTGTGTGTGTGTGTGAAAGCAGCGAGCCCTTAATTTGGAGGCTTACAGGCTGCACATGTAGTAAACTGCACATTGAATTTATTATTTGTTTATATGCACCACCTGCAGTGGTGTAATGAATGAATCTATTCAAATACAAAAGTATAAACTGGAGGCTGGTTTACTTTTAAATTACATTTCTTGAGACTTTATACCCACTACAATTCAGACTTGACAGCTTTGGTTACAACATATGATGAACTTGAAAATGTGAGTAACGATTGTAAAATAAACTATCCAACAACATATCAGATTGTTAAAATTGGCTCCAACTACAAGAGTAATGTGTTACTTGCATATCAATGCATCAGCAATAATTATCCAATAATAATATTAGTGACATTTTTCTACACATACATTTTCCAGTAGTCCCAATGAAAATTGTTGACTGTACGTTTTATGGGTTATCCAAAGTAAAGAGGATAGTGTTGTTGTAGAGTATTTTAAAATAAAATTTTCCATTATTATTATTAATATTTTAAGTAGTTTTTCTTACTACGTTGACAGTAGAGACTGGACTGAAAATAAGACAAGAGAGTGCTGGGTAAGAATGTTTAACAAAGGTCCCCGGACCAGACCGGGTATGCGGTTCATGGTAGGTGACTAAAACTACAGACAGATGATGCTGTGATGATGTTACTGACTGGCAAAGTCAGTGGAAATGTTTGTGCAGATCCTTCCATACAGGGCACTGAATGGAGGTATATAGTATTAAAATTATGTAAATCAAATCCTATGGCAACTAAAGTCACCACATCTCAACACAATGATGAACACTGAGGACCAATATTTTTTAGAAAACTCTATCATAGTAAAGATTATACTTCTCTAACTAAGACTTCTCAAGTGTTCTTTTCCTTTGTTGTATCAGTATCTACATGGCTGGATACTATACATTACTATACAGCAAGGTTTTTGGAGAAATAATGTCAGCTACCCTGTTAATAATGGGAACTCTCACAATAGTGTCCAGTTAGTTTGTTTTTCTCTTTTCCCCACTTTGTGTGCGAAACAGGTGCATATCAGATCACCAACAGCTCCCTCTGTGGTCACAAAAGGCCCCAACACAACCCAATACAGTGATTTTATACACGAAATAATCCTCCAGAGAAATGAAGGAAAAACACTTTGAAATAGGATTTCTTTCTTATGGTGGATCTGTTATAATCACATAGACACAGAAATCCCCATGAGCAATAATGCATTCCTCAATGAAAATTACACTGGGAAATAGCTTGAACACGACTGGGATTATTGGCTGACCAGCCGCTCTATATGTGCAGCATATTGCATTGTCATGGTACTCTTGTTAGATTTTATAAATTTTCTCTTATAGATCAGCACTGAAGATAGAGTTGTCAGAAAGACTAACAGAGTAACAGAGCGCGTACTGTTGAAAGTACCACCGGCTGTTGAAGGAGTAGATCAACCACAACGATCTGCTTAACAATTATTTTTTGCCAATATTAACGCTCATTACTAATATAATTCCTGCCCATTAAGACGCTGATAATCTATCTGACATGGGCATCAGACACAGGGGTGTGTTAACATTGCTGTGGTGCAATATCTAGATACAAGCTGAGCTCAGGGTATTAACTCCACTGATAAGACTGATACGGTCTATGAAACCTTCACACACATTCATACACTGACAGCAGAGGCTACCATGCAAGATGCAAACTGCTTATCAGAAAAACACTAATAATTCAAATACATAATTTGGGGTTCAGTATCTTGCCCAGGGATCAAACCACCAATCTTCCAATTAGTGACCAACCCGCTATACCTCAAGTCACAGCGGCCCCTCAATTGTCATTTTTTTGTCTATAAACCCAAAGTATTTTGTTTCACTCTCACTCATCCTTCTGACCCCAGATTAATATTGTGTTAATATACAACCAAGGAGGCAGGAACATCCCAGCCACCTCCCCTTATGCCTGAAGAGGCAAAGCAATTTTCACAGACTCACACAACTTCAACTGCAGCTACGTTTGTTTGTTTATTTTAAAGCAAGTCCAAAATTGTCCCTGAACAGGTACGAAAAAGATTAAAGAACAAGACTCATTACATCCCTTCTGCCTGATTCCAGTGGTATCAAGACTTTTGAACTGACTTCTCTCAGAGGACAGGAAAAAGAAGAAAAAGGCACCTGGAAACACCAGTAAAGAAGCAACAAGCAAGTTAAATGATCATGAACATGAAGAAGCAACTGTGGTCCCTGGCCCGTCTGTTCCTGCCTGGTGTGGGATTTTTTTTGACCTGCATCGGGGCATATCTGGCGTCCCTGCAGACGGAGTACGGGTACAATTGCAGGGTCATCCATGCCTACATCATGATTTTGTTTGGCTTCCTGGCTGTGCTCATCGGAGTCTTCTGGAACATCTGCCACAGCATGAAGAGCAAGATGTACCAAAGAGGAGGACATGAACCGCACATCCAGGTCTACACTATTGAAAGGTAAGGTCACAGATACGCTTTAAAAATAGAAATAATAATAATAGTGGGAAAACATCCTATTGATTTGCACTGAAACACTAAATTGCAAAGCATCTAGGCAAGCTTTACAGAAAAAGGAATCAATATAATGTTTGTTTAGGGAAACAACCTGGTTTTGTAAAAAAAACACTTAAGCAATTTATTTCTATATAAGGGAATTACCATTGCAAAATGTTAAGTATAACTACTGAAAAAACCCAAATCAATTTAAGTTACCCTTCCTCTCCTCTCTTTCTTCAGAATTTCTTTTCAACTATTATCCCAACACATAGAGATATAAAATAATAGTAATGGTAGTGGTAATAATAAAAATATCAATGACAATGAATAATAGTGATTATAATGATAGCAATAATATTAATGATAGGACTATAATAATAATTTTAGCAGCAGATGTTGAGTACGCAGAAATACCTCGAAAGCAATGGAAGGTGAGAAGTTAGAGACTAGAAACCTCAAACTACAGGAGACGGAAGATGTCGAGTTAGTAACATGCATTAATGGGATAAGAATGCATCCAGATGGAGAGGGAGAAGAGGAGAGAGGATAGCAGCATAACTAAACGGCTTGAAGCTAACTGATTGTCATCTGCATAACAATGAAAGTTTATGAAGTGTTTCCTAATAATATTGACCTAAAAGAGTGAACAGATTTGGTCCAAGCACAGAACCTTGTGGAACTCCAATATATCGTCCCAAATGTATTGTATGTCTTTTCCTCTGCAGACCAAACTCCTCCCCTCCATCGTACGAGGAGTCCCAGGGCAGCCAGCAGTGTCCTGATACAGCCCCTGAGTTTGTGGTGGTGGTAGACGAGGTGGATGTGGTGATGAGTCTTGCTCCTCCTCTATACAGCCAGGACAGCTCGGAGGCTCCAGACTGCACATGGAGCTGGGAGCAGCCTCCTCGGTACAGCCAGGTAGAGCGTATTCAGCTGGAGGAGGTGGATGCAGACGAGTGGAGGGAGGCTTTGCCCGGACACTGAAGGAAGAAGGACTTATCCCCTGACTGGCTAACAGAAAAAGGAGGAATGAAGATTTTAGATTGACATCATTTCCTGATCGAGCTAAGAGGGAAAGCTCCAGAAAAATGAGAGATGCCTTGAAATGTGGTTGGATTTCTCAGCTACCAAATGATGGACGTGTTGACTTCACCTTTGCGCCATCAATCTACACCCGGTGCTCAACTTCTGGATTCTAATGTGTGTGCTGACCCTATGTTACCAGGCCAGTTTCAGCCTAGCGGTACAGCCTGTTGGGTTAAACTGTGGTTTTGTGTTGCTCAAATGGTTTTGTCTCTGGTATTCTAAAGCAAGGATGAGCTGAATGTTTGAGATGCAAAACTGGTTAGTGGTGTGACAAAAACTGAGGACAGTATTAATGCACTTAACTTACTTTTACCTGCACTGTAGTTCCTGTTTGTATGCTACTAAAATCAAACACTCCTGGATGTTTACAGATATAATACAACGGTTTGCAGTGAATGATGCTTATCCTGTTCAAGAGTGATTTGTGTTATGGAAAAATAACATCAGGTTGCTATATCTTTACTGTCTTTATACTGTAGTGTTTGTGTTCAAAATGTGTCTTTCTCAATATATAGCCAACCCTTGGTAGACTTGTTTTGCATTATAAATCATGATAATGTATTTTCACAGCCCTCTTCTTATAATACTGGCACATAAATGATTCTTTAAAAGTAAATCTTACCAGGCAGCTTTACATGATTGCAAAGTAGACAGAACCAACATTTGTATTTTTTAAACAACTCAGTTCAATATATATTTACTGGCTGATCCTACTTAAAAATATGCTCTCTTGATTGTGCTGATTGTGCTAAATGGAATTACATAACATGAAATAAGTTTAGGTTAATAAGAGAGAGGGGTAGACCACATGCAACACATTTTCCCAGTCTGACTTGGGATATTGGGATTTTAAATTATTATTTTTTTTATAAAAATGTCAAGGCAAGTCCCAGTTAGGTTGAAATGTTTGTTTACAAGGGAGACTGATATGAGATCAAAGTTGTAGAAAAAACAATGCAAAATTGGATAGAACAATGCTCAAATACACTACTAGAATAGGATCAAATTAGGATTCAACAATTTAGGAGGAGTCTGAATTGTTGAACCAGGTTATTCAAAGTTGCTGGAGCTGAACACATAAAGTCTTTCTTTCCAATCTCTGTCTACACATTAGGGACAGACCACACATAAATGTTTTAAGACCTGAGATAAAGATTGCAAGATGAAATTTGTGAAATAAGTTTGCCCAGAATGGCTTTATAAATAAAATTATGGACACAGAGCACAACAATGATAGAGTGAATTGAGCATATTATTAGTATAATAATATAGTATACTGTAGTATATTTGTACATTGTGGTCCTTAAGGCTGATAATGTCTGACAAGTCTATTCAGCCTGTGCTGAATTTGTACTTATTTACTGCATATGACTCCATGAGATGTCCTAACAAAGTGTTTTAATAGATCATGGGTACATGGGTACAAGTAACAGCTCAGTTGAAAAGTTCATTACAATAAAGATACCGGTGGAGCAACAGTGTTCTACAACTTTGCAGCTTATTCATTTTCATGCACATTACAAATGAAAACTGAATGTATTTGTCTAACAGTGCCCCTACCTATTACACACTTGTCTCTGACACATGAAAGATTTCAGCTAGAACCTAAACCGTCTTCTTAGCGACATATTCAAAGGTGATAAACTGGCACTGATCCTTACCCAACCTCAGAAATTGCCCTTGACATTACAAAACAGTCGGATGGGGCAATAACCTGTAAATGGCTGACAGGTAATGCCTACCTGACTGAGTTTACACATCCTTGAGGATATCCTCAACTCATAATGACGGCAATCAGTGTGTTTATGAGCTCCTGCTCTCCCTGTCTCATTCAGGCCGTATAAAGATCAACCCTCTTCATTTCTTATCTCAACACAACAGCTTCAACACATTTCACACTCGCTTCAAAAGCAGGTGCTGTGCTCTGCAAACAAAAGCCTCCTTTTCCTCAAGGATGTTCAATCACCACATGATATATAGCATCAGCACAACATGGTGCTCTTAATTATGATGAATCCGTTTAATTACAATCCAAAAATGCCTAAGGGCAACATATCTCACACTGATGTTTTTATTTGCACCCATTAAACCTGTCTGATTCAATTAAAAATGGCAAGTACTACACACACAAAAAAGTTTATTTGGATTAAAAAAAATATATATATATTCAAATCTGGTTATACGGCATTCCCCAAAGCCTAAACTGACAAATTAAAGAAAAGGCCCAAACAATTCTAAGATGGAAATTTTTCATTCCCCTTGACTTTTACATTTTGAATACTCTGTCCTTAGGTAGTAAACATGAGTCTGACAACTTCCCAGTATTTCACAGAGCAAGATATGCATTAACATACTTTTTTAAACACTAACTAATTGCGATTCAATTCACTGATTTATTAGTTGTGATGCGACACATGTTTTATTTTACACTTAGACAACAGTTTGATTACTTCTGCATGAAATTATTGGCGGAAAAAACAGTGACATATCTGAGAGGACAGGTACAAGCAATATGAAAAGTGAACACTGCATTGTTATACAAAAACTCTTCTGCTCCCTTAGTCAATAAGTCTTGATAAAAGCAAGCCACAAACATTAACAGTCAGTCTGCACATTGTTGTCTGACAATGTTTGCTGTTCACATATTTGTCATTGGTTATCCACCGCAATAATTAAATAGCCTCCCTGGTTTAGACACAGAATAGTTTAAGTTTTCAAAATCTGACAGATGATAGTGGTCAATAAACAACTGCGAAAACAGTGTGCAACATAAACATGCGTTTTCAGAGATAAACTGCAGCAGTTAGCTCCCTCAATTTAGTCATCGTTTAAAGAAAAATGAAAAATGAGAATGTCGCTACAAAGAAGGGATATTAAAAAATGGCAGATAGGCACAAGAACGAGTATTTTGAAGGCATTTTCTCTGTGTGAGCAGGTAGATGCATGTGAGTATGTGTTGTCCTGGTTGCTCATGTGATCACATTAGGGCCACGGCGTCCCGTCCTCTCGTGGATGTTGGAGATCTTCAGGGCGATGGCAATGAGAGGGCCCAGCACCACCTGCGGTGAGGAACACATCACAAAGCATTTTCGGCAATGATAATTCAATGACCGCTGAGGTTTTGAATCATGCTGGAAAGAAAGTTTTGGAATTTGAAATGTGCTTTTGAGAACTGTAACAATGCAAGGGAGTGTTTCTTTCATGATCAGAACGTATCCCCTGACAGACTCCTTAATGTTTTATCTGCGACCACCAAATAGCATACAGTGAATCTCTCTCAGTCCATAAGAACATTAAAAACATCTTTACTGTTCATGACCATGTAAAGCTGCATCCCAATGAGTTCAGCACTGCTTTTTAGTCATAGGAAGGATGGTTATTTACCAGCTAGGAAAGGAGAACATTAAGGAAACAGCACCCGCAGATACAACGTTTTGTTTTGGTATTGTCCTTTTTTGGGATTACCTCTGTTGTTTCATGTTTTTTTGTACTGCTTCAGTGTATTGTTTGTATTATTTTGCAACTTGGACCACTTTTAATTTATTTTGATTTAATTTCATAGCAGAAAACACTCCATTTTGCATTATGACACTTTCTATAAAAAAACAACATCTGTTCATAGTACAAACCTCCCTAGCACAGCTCAGTAACTACTGAGAAACTGAGACCACTGACTGAGATCTTAACATTGCGGCTCTCACAGTAAATTACAGTGGTTAATAAGTAAATCTTCAAGCATAACAAAATGTCTGACCTAGTCTTTGTTTTGTTGTGCAAGACAGCACACACATTGGTAGTTATCATGTGAGTTTGGGGTGTAAAAACAGATAAACCAATAGCTAAACAGATTCCAGAGCAGATATCCTAGTTTAACTTGTGTCAGACAAGCCCTATAAACTGTCAACAACATGGATGCGGTGTAATAAAGAAATTAGCTTAGAGGAAATGCTGAGATGTTTCATGACAGGTGTATCACCTGCGCAAAATGTCTTGAAACATTTCAAACATGTCTTAAAATAAAATGCATACAATCTGAAGAACAAATGAAGAAAAAATAACAGGATGTTTATACAGCATGCAGAGTATATAAATGTATGTACATCACAACATTGCTCAAGAAATACATGATACAACTCAGGAGTTTTGGGTTATGGTGTTATTTTTAACACACCCACATACATTACAGTGAGCATACAAACACAATTACAGTGGAAAACTACATAAGATTTTAATGACGTCATGTAGGCTAAATACAAACACACACAGCCTATGCTGCTCTGCCAAGTGAGGTGTATATAAAAGTATCCGCAGCACTTTTAACTTAGCATAATAACCATGTTGTCTAATCTTGTAGGCTATGTCATGGCTGATGATTTCTGCGCTTCAGGTAAGGGGTGGAATGATTAGAAATAGAATTTATTATCTCATATTAATGATAGATTTTCCAAGGGTTCAGTTTAGGTCACACAACAAGGACAAGGGAGATTTAATGACAGTGTTAAACAAATACCGCAGTTTTACTGACTCAAATATAGCAGCTAAAACCATTCAGGTATTTTTACATGTTATTCATCAATGGGTTAGCTAGGGTGACGATAATTCTGTGTCCTAGAGAACTTTGTTCCATACTTAATGAATGAATCCACTTTTCCTAATATTAGAAACTGGTGATATAATCTTTGAATTTGTGATATTACTTTGAAGTTAAATCATTACATAGATGAATTAGGTAATCATGATTGCACTGTACCATACGTGTTAAATTCTGGCACCTGAATTAAGTTTAAATTATAGCTTACCAACTAGTAATGCTCAAATGCAAACTTTCATGCTCAAGTTAGCATTTTTATGACTCTGCAAGCTGAAGACAAACTTTGGTTGTCCTCTGATATGTAGATGTAGGAAAGAATGGCAAACATTTATTTGTTGGATTAGGTGGCCAAAACTAAATGATTTTGTCCTGCCTTCATGACTACAGCTTTACAACTGGGTGTGATTAAAGTACACTACCTATTCCAACATCCATAACCACACAAGAGCGTAGTGTTCCTAATAATTCCAAAGTCTACAGGTCAGTCAGCTTCAATAGTTTCACATGAAGTTGCATTTTACACCACTATTGCCTGATCATGAAATTGCAGTT